ATATATATGCAGATCATCAGCATCAAAGCAAAAAGGCTTTCTGAATCTAATCATTACAGATTTCAGTGAAGTAGCACTATCCACAATCTAAGAGATATTTGACAAAACATTGTGGGTTCATACTGTACACTACATTTTCATAAAATGAACAAGCAAAAAAAAGAAAAGAAGTACAGAAATCCTATAAAGCTATAGCACCTCGCTATCACCATCGTGTTCAAGCTCAAGTGTAATACTGCTGCAATAAACTGCAAATCTACCATAAACAAGTTCCACGTTCACACAGAAATCTATTAAACAGATTTTGTCTTAAATAATATAAAACACAATATGTTCCAATGCAGTAGAAATACTAATCAGGTGAAAAACAAACAAGAAACACATACGATATATAGCAATACATACCCATAATCCCCTCTACCTTAATTCCTTGCAGGCACAGCTATACACACTCAGTCACTTACTCTCCATCACAAACACATGCACACACGTTCCTTCTCTCTCTCTTACTTGAAATGATTTGTCTACAATAAGTACAAATTACACACTGAAAGCAAGCGTATTGGTGACAGCTTTGGTAGAGAAAAGCCTGAACATAGCTTATTTCCCAGGGGAACTGAATATCTCTACAATGAGGCGCTACTTCATCAGCGGGGCAGCGTACGATCACAACATTGGTGAGATCATGAGGGAAACTTGCCACCCTCTGCTTCATTACATCTTCCAAAAGACACAGACAAGTAAAGAGATAAATAGTGTAATGTAACATATAGCTGTGAGCCCGAGGTCTAACATTTAGCTCTAGCAGTTCTTTTGTAGACCTGTATAATGTACCTCTGTGTCTTGTTGTAAAGTTACCTTTAAAGAACACTTTCTTTTACAGTTGCCTAAAGTGCTGGGTTTTCACTTGGTAAGTGGATGGCGAGAGCAGTTAATTAAAAAGTCATTATAGCTGTAACTAAGTGGAAAGGTCAGAGTAGCTTGATGATGTACTTTCCATCTCCTAGAATAGATTTACAGTACAACAATTTAACCTGACTTTGTCGGTCATCCTCAGTAGCATCTGTTTCAATTAGAGGACAAGTCAAAAGCTGATTTTGTGTATATTCATCTGTATTTATTTGTTTGTTTATTTCAGTCTGTTCAAATGTGATTCGTGGTTACGAAAGTCTCTGAAAGGTCTGTGGCAATTTGTGAATTACAAAAAAGAACAATAAAATAGGACAAAGCTCTTCATATGTCTTACGTATCTTTATATGTGTATGCGTACTCCGATCAAACAATTATAGTTCTTCTGAGTGCTAGACATGAAGATTACTTTGTGAAGTTGTGATACGAAAAGGCTCACTATAACTTTATTTATCTTACCACTGCAAAAGACAGAAATTTGGCTGTTCATGGTAAATTGATTAGAGGATTGGGAAAGATCACCAAGCCAACTGATGTCAACTGCGTACCTTTCAAAGGACTTTATCACAGACAGCATTGGTAGCCTCAGGGTAGGATTTTATCATGAGACAACATTGACAGCTGATGTCAAAATATGGCATTCAGTAAGTTCTTGATGCAGAATTCTAATCAAAAATGATTGAACTGTTCTTTGCTCAAGTCAAAAGGACGCTTTCAACTACAGCCTCTGTCATTTGGAAGTTTTGCTTTTTTCTAAAAATCCTTGTCATAAGCTACCAGTGTCCAAACCAAGCAGCTCCCCAAAAAAGTGAGTGTGTAATGAAGTAAAAATTCAATTTTTAAACAGTGTGTGCTTGCAAATATTTGACTATAACATACAGGGAATGTGATTGTGTAGACTGTTTTCTTGTTGGAATCCGGGAGGCAGCGGGCACCAGAAAATTATACTCACCACAATGCCAAACTGCTCTGACTCCACAAGCTCCTCATATTCACCCTTTAGTTCTGCTAGCGCATTCAGCTCTTTCTGCTCTGGCAGGTTCTTTATCAGGTTCTAGAAATGGAAGAAGACACACACACACACACACACACACACACACACACACACACACACACACACACACACACACACACACAACAACAGAGCTACTGTTAATGCAAATGTAATTTTCTCTCCACATCAACATGAAAATCATTGCACAGACACGGAGGACAGTTTAGCTTACACAAAAAGATGAGAAAAAAGTCCACAACAGCTCTTTGCTTGGACTCATACTATTGTGTTCCTATTTAGTTTACTAGGTTAGTAAATAGTTTGAAAAACTGCACATGTTGCCTCATGGACACATGCCTTTCCTAACAAGTCAACCTGCAGATGAGATCCAGGTCTACGCAGTGTTGGGGAGTAACGGAATACATGTACCGCCGTTACGTATTTAAAATACAAAATATGAGTAACTGTATTCCGTTACAGTTACCGTTTAAAAAGGTGGTATTCAGAATACAGTTACTTTGTTGAAATAAATGGATTACACTGCGGTACTTTCCTGTTTCATATTGTGGCGGGTCAGGACTGTTTGGGTTTTGTTTGACAGCTACGTTCTGTTGTTCCAGGCGGCAGCGTTACGGTTGCCATGGTTACAGGGTGACGCTCTCTCTCTGCGACTGTGTGTTTCCTGGGTGAGAGAGCGCCTTTTTGTTGTTGTTGTTGTGCTAAGCTAACAGGCAGAATGCTACAAGCATAGCTCTAAAGAATGTAGCATCATGGGCAGTGTAGTCCGTGCTGCAGGGAGAATGGACTGCCATACACGTTATGTGTCTGTGAGCGAGGAGGGAGAAAAAGGGGAGTGGAAAGGTACGAGTTGTCATTGAGCAGAAACGGGAGCTGGAAGCATGTAAATATAATAATAACCACTGCAGCCAAGAAGAGAGCCTGACGAGCCCAGCTGTAAGTAAGCGATTAAGACTCGACTGTACACCGTGCTCGTGTTTTCCTCCGAAACAATAAGTTCCGTTGGAGCAGCCTTTCAACGCCTCTCTCTGTCTCTCGCAAGAAAAGTTGACCCAGACAACAAAGTAAAGCTAGTTTTCAGCTACGAGCCGACAGGGACCCCGCCGTATTAGTCAGAGGTCCCTTTACTACAGTTCGGAGTCGCGGACCTTCAGTAATAGTAATAAATCACACAGCAATAGTACATTCACGTTGTTGTAAAAAGCATGATAATATATTAAGTAATCCAAAGTATTCAGAATACGTTACTGTCATTGAGTAACGTAACGGAATACGTTACAGAATACATTTTGGGGCATGTATTCTGTAATCTGTAGTGGAATACATTTTAAAAGTAACCTTCCCAACACTGGGGCTATGTGAAGACTATACAGTAAGTAGGTAAAATTTTAGTAAAATGTATTTCTACTTTCTACTCTACTTCACTACTTGATACCACTAGAGTGCTTTATATTTTCCTCAACACCAACCAACAACCAAAAACACAGTACTATGAATAATCAACATCAATTTGGAAATGCAAGAGAAAAAGAACTATGAGCATCATAACAACGAAATAGTTTATATGTCGTAATAACTTAAGCAGAATATTTCTTAATGAAAGCAAGTAACCACAGCAGGGGTTGATAAAACTTGGTATCATCAACATTTATTCATATTAAGCAGCATACAAGCCTCAAAGTAACACATGAACTTTGGTTATTTGTCATGGTCCTGGCTCTGTGACCCAGCGTTCTGAGTTAGTGGATTTTCTAGATTTTTTTATTATGAATTCTACGCTTGGTTAATTTCATTATTGTTTCTTGTAGCCATTCCCTTGGCATATTTAGTCTTCTTCTGTTATACATTGTGTAAGAGCAAGTCCTTCCTTAGTGTTTCCCATCCTCTTGTGTCTAGTTTTCTGTGTTAATTATAGGTGTCTCCCTGTGCAGTTAGTCTTGTCTCCATGTTTATTTGCCTCTGTTACCCCAGTCATGTCCCTATGTGTCTATCTGGTTCCTCTATGCTCTCGCCCTCACCGTCTGTATGTAGTCAGTCTGTGTGCGTCTCTTGTGCTTCCTGTCTTATTTCGTCAGTCCTTCGTCCTGGGTGCATTATGTTCTGTTCTGCTTCCCGTCTCATCAGTCGGACTATGTTCAGCTGTGTTCCCCAGGTGTTTCCGCTCTGCTGTTTCCTCCTTCCTTGTATATATTGTGTCTCCTCATGTTCCAAGGGAGACGAGCTGAAATGCTTGGCATTTCCACCTCAATGCCGCTGTGTGGCTCGCTGAAGGTTTCGAGTCGGGGGCAGTCGGAGCAAGAAGATGCTAGGCTCCCATGGTCGCTGCTCTTCCTTTGCAGAGCAATTCCCTGTGAGTGAGAAAGACCTTTTCCCTCGTGTTCACGGTGAGTCAAAAACTGTTGTTTGCTATGCAAAGGTCCTAATGACTGTTCAGTGTACCACTAGCCCATCAAAATCTAAGACTGTTTCTTTTGCTTCAAAAGCGACCAACATTAAACGTGTGCATCATGTAGCTGACCCACTAAAGTCTGCAAAGAGGCTGGGCTAGCGACTCTAAAGTCACTTCACAGTTTACTTCCCTGAACCAGTCACTTCTGAGGACCCTGAATTATCCTCTTTGAAGACTGTTTACTGTGAATGTGTGCTGGACTATCAAAAGACTGTTTTTGCTCCCCAACCTGTATCATTCAATTCATAAATACAAAGACTGTTGTGCTTTTGAAACTGGTTGAGTTTTTCCACCTGTGACTTGGGCCCTATTCCAGTTCCCCCAGCGGGTTGGACATAGCTCTCTCCCGCACCCATACCTGTTCCTCGGGTGGGAGTGGCTGGTGTCCAGTTGGCCCCTGCAGCAGTCCCTGTTCCCAGGCTAAAGCCAGCTGGGACCCAGTCCACCTCTGGACCTGTACCAGTTCCTCAGGTGGAAGCAGCTGATGTCCGGTGGGTCCCTGCACCAGTTTCCAGGGCGAGGGCAGCTGAGACCCAGTCCACTTCTGCACCTGTAGCTGTTCCATAGGTGGGGATGACTGGTGTTCGGCCATATGTTTTTCCAGAATGAGAATGGTAGCTTATCCAGAGCCTGCTGTGTGCCCTGTGCAGGCCCAGCCAGAGCTCTCTGCACCGTCTGCCTTGTCCTACCCAGAGGTGCCCGCGCCGTGTGGACCTCATTCATCTGTGGCACAGCATGTTTTGTCCCAGCCAGAGGTCTGTGCTCCGCCACTTGGTCCTGTTCTGCCCAAACCCAAGGTTCTCCGTCGCGTCTGTTGACAACCTCCAACCAAGCTGCCTGAGGAGTCCCGTCGCCTCTGGCAGTTCCCAGTGAAGTGCCGCTTGTCCCGTGGCCGGTGACCAGAACTGCTATTTGTTTGTTTTTGGACTCACCTGCTGCTTAGGTTTAGACTTGGTCCAGGCTCTGTGACCCAGTTAGTGGATTGTCTAGTTTTGTTTAGTATATATAAATGAATACACACTTTTTTAACAGATTTATTGGAACTGATTTTACTGCACAGTGGTTTGCTGATGGACTCATACAACAATGACAAGATAAGGTCACGCAGTTACTGCTCACTGTTGGTCTATTACTGTGAGAATGGTGGCCCTTAGCCAATTACTAAACCTGAAAACGAATAAAAGATATCCAAATTTCTGCAGTATTGCCAACATATCCTTGCTACTGTCTATAAAATACATGCATCGGGTTGTCCATCAATCTACAATTGTCTTATAAATTTCTTCGCAAAAGAAAAAACAATCCTGCTGGTAGTGAAGTTAAAGATGGAGATGAGGAAGATAATGGGAGGGGCTGCGTTTTCTGTAAATGTTAATTGTTTGTGTGAAGGTCAGCCAAGTTAATAAAATTGACCACAGCGACTTTTCCACCTCCTTTTCTCAGAGGAAAAGAGAGGAAGATGTGCCCTTTTCCAGTTCCTCACAAAGCTTCCTTCCTCATTAGCTCCCCAAATTTATTCAGCAGGAGCAGACTGGCGCAGGATCACGTGGCCAGATGGAAGCCTAGACAGGGAAAACAGAGAGCAGACACAGCTACTGGGCCACAGGCCTGGCTGACCATGCTATAGACCTCAGCAGTCATCACAGACAACACAGCCAGAGTCTACTTCCCACTAATGATGACATCTCTGTCCTTCCCTCAGGGAATTCAGCAATATAAAAAGTGAGCTATAATGCAAGCCATGCAGTCCTGTTTGGGATGAAGCCATTAAATCAAATGTTTCTTGCTTTTGCCAAAGCCCCAATTAAGGTCTGCAGCAAGCAATGGTGCTTTTATAATGAAGGCTTTTGATCATGTCAACAGGAACATAAATATTTTTTTAGGATATGAAAAAAAACAAAAAAACAGAGCAACAACAACAAAATATTGGTGCAATTGTAATTTTAAGGATCATGCTGAAGTTAATAATGACTGGGAAAACTTCGGATCATGCTAAAGTGTTCCGAGGAGTTCTATCCAAACATGTTTAGTAATGCAGCCGTTTAGACTGCTTAGGTACAGCTGGAATGCTATTACTATCCAAAATTCATGTGTGACATCCATTTATGATCCATGTTTCACTGAACCAAATGGGCTTTTTCTGTATGCAATAAAATTCCAAAAATCTAAAAACTATCTACACTCTCCTGGTAGATAAACTCAGAACAAAATAAGCTGTGAATAAAGTTCTTCTCGTGAACTCTAAAAGATAATATTAGCAGTGGGATTAGTAACAGTGCTGTCTGACATTGTAGAGTTGGCTCTGAATAAAACAACGGTAATATAGAGGAAAACTGTTCATTTGTTGCAATAGCTACAGCTGATACTGTGACAAATCATTTAGATTATTCTCTGGCAAATAATTAGGGATATGTCTTCACACTCATAATGTAAGTCTTTCACAATGTCTTTCCATTTCCATGAGTCTGGTCTGGCACAGAAGAGACATGAAGGAAAAGTATCCTTGGCAGTCCTTGTTGATAAATGTGTTCCAGTCCATTTATAATAATGTCTGTACCTTTCAAAACTGATGCGGCACTTTTACACAGCATGT